ATTTTAATAACTGATTGTTTTCAATAAGTCATTTTTCAGAATGCAACATGCAACCAAAAAGTTTGTCTAATGTCGGCTTTTACTGCTTTTTTTTGTCTTACGTGATTGTAAACTGAATATATTTTGTGTTTAGAACTGTTGGCTTGACAAAACAAGTACTTTAAGACTTTAAGACACTTTGGTCTTTAGGAATCTGTGATGGATATCTTTTGGACATTTTATAGACCTTATTTCTATCAGCCTGACCTTTTTGGCATCTTTACAAACCTTGGTGTTTGAAAAATGCTTGTCTACAAAATATAGACTGTTGATACTGAAATCTTTGCTTTGGTTCCCCATAAAAGCTTTTTTGTGCCAGAAAAGAATATAATTCTTTGCAGATTTGGATTTAAAGATGATATTTAATATCCTTTTAAAATATATCAAGCACCTTCAGCTCAAAAATAATAACTGTGATCAGTCTTCAAGAATCTGCAGGCGTTGGAACCAAGGATGTATTGTTATCTCAAACATGGTGTAAGGCAAAGCTTCTCCCACAAATGCTAACTTGCCTTAAGGGCGTCTGTTGAGACCATGTGAGCCTAAAACTCTGTGCTGAAACCAACACGGATGGCCTCCCACCTCCCGGGCCCTCCAGGGTTTTCTCGTTATGAAGGGAAACTGTGGTCCAAACATCCCACACAGAGACTTGGCCAAGCACGGTGGAGATAGATCATGGTGCTAGTCATGGGAGAGTCGGATGACAGCAGGATTTTATCATGTTTGAATGGAGCGTAGACTGGAGTCAGCTGGGAGGTGTTAACAGAGAGTTTTAATAATGGCATTATTATTTACATTCATGGTTATAAAAGGCCTTGGAAACAGTCAAATGAAGGATTTATTGATTTATCTTGTGAGAGTTTGAAGGTTCCCAGGTTGGGAACTACTTGTAGATAATGTGGCTAAATAGAGGGTTTCCTGTGTGCCCCAGATCTTAGTAATGAACTTGGTTAGGCAAACGATACCATAACTGATAGAAATGATTGGAAAACTGAAAATCTAACCCAGGTTGTAGGAAAAAAAAGGAATTTTGCTAAAAGCTACAGTGGCTGAACCGACTGATGGACTGTCCCTCTGTCTTTTTCCTTTCTTTGTGTCCATATTGGCCAGGTGTGTGTGTGTGTGTGTGTGTGTGTCTGTGTGTCTGTGTCTCGTTTCTGAACAAAGGAACCAGAGAAGATGATGTCATCTTTTAACCGTTATGTGCCTGTCTGTGTGTTGGCGGTTGGGATTCTGTAATTATTACAGTCTGCGTTCTGAGGTCACCTTTCTCACACATGGAGAGGACACGCACACACACATACGCACAC